ATCACTTCAAAAACAAGGCAATTGTTTGCTATGGGGCTGCCCAGATGTTGGCTGTGGGGCATCCTCAGCCCTATGACCAAACCCACTGAGCAGGCATTTATTCTAACTGAGCAGAACAGGTTGCAAAACCTTTGGAGTTTGTTTTTCCTCTGTGGGAAATATTGACAAAACCAGAGGCAAGAGAGGCACTCACGCTGAATTTTTTTGGCAAAAGAGAAAACGGTTTTGGCTGCAAACGAGGTGATTTGGATCCTGAACTGCATCTGTAGAGCATGCTGGGAGAGGAAATCCAGCTGTGAAACTCAGAGCAGAACTGAGCCCGATTACAGGACTGAGCACGGCCACAGTTCAGTAGTTCATTGTCCACATTCATCTTGGTCTGAGGACATTTGGGTTTTCAATTTGAAGGTAAAAACATCCTTCCCTTTGTCTGTGCATCATCTCCACTTACTCTGTGCAAGCTCATTTTACTTCTACATTCCTCTCCCTCAAACTGGAAAAGGAAACAGTTTAGTGTGGACAAAAAGCCGTACTGAAAGCACAGTGTCCCACATCTCCAGTTTTCCTTAAATCTCCATTCCACCTCCACTTCCAATTAAAAAATGCCTTGTTTTGACCCTAAGCTATCTCAGCACATGCTTAAAACTGAATGCAGTTATCAGAGCTGATGCCAACATACAGATGGATTAACTCTTTACTGGCAACAGCAGATTTTTCTAAAACATTTGCTGCTTGGGGTGACATTTTCTCCTCAAAATAGGCCTTGCCCAAAGCAAAACATAGGAAAAAGGTTGAGGACTTGTTTAGAGAATGTGAAGAAGCTCCCTCTTTTTTGGTCTAAATGAGATTTTTAGCCTGGGTCCCATTCCCCAGTCATGCACATATAAAGTCAATGCAGTTATTTTCCTTAATTTACTAAAAGTGCCATTGATTTCCTGCTTGATCTATTGTTCTTCTGGACCTGAGCACCACTGTGTTTTTCACATAATGAGCTCTATATTCAGAAGCACTTATGTGATGTGGGCACCTCATTTCCATGGGTGTTTTACGACTGTAGGAGCATGTGTATCCCAGGCTTTGTATAAATTATTAGATCATGGGAAATCTTTCATTGCTGTTTCCATTGGTGTACCTTGACCTGTCCCACCAAAGGCTCACCACAAGTTGCTCTTTACTTTGAGCCACCCTTTGTCTCTGTAGGAAGAAAACTTGGATGTACTGCCTAGAAGAATCTAGGCAATATTCAGGCCAGGAATGCACGTTCCTCTGATTGTGTGTTCTTTCTCTTGATGACATATGAGTTAATTAGCAGTGTGCAAGTGTACAAATTTACCTTCACTGTGGCTACATTGAGTGGTAACTGCTGGGATTACTCATGGGTGGAATATCTTCTTGTGCATGAAGTCACATCTGTGTGTTGTCAGGACTGCAACAAGATTCAACACTTGAGAGGTCTCTACATCATCACCTGGATATGAGCAGGGTGCTTCCAAAAAGAAGCTGCTGCTTTCTCCACTCCCAAGCCAAAATTCATGATCCCACATGCAATCCAGTCATCATATATCATCACAGAATGGCTTGGGTTGGAAGGAACATTAAAGTTCCAACTCTCTGCTGTGGGCAGAGTTGTCAACCACCAGATCAGGTTGCCCAAGGGTCCCATCCATGGCCTTGAGCACCTTCAGGGAAGGGGCACCTATAGCTCTTGCTGGGACCTCATTGCCCTCTGAGTAAAGAATTTCCTCCAACACCTGATGTACATCTCTCCTCTATTAGTTTAAAATCGTTCCCCTTGTGCTACATCACTGTGTGATAAAAAAAGTCAGTCTCCCAATGACCTTAAAGTGGTGACACCAGGGTAGAGTGTGGCTCGTGGTCTGTGAGCTCCGTGTGACTGATAAGAGTTGGCTCCGGTGCTGCAAAGAGCAGGATGTGACAGACACACTCACTGCACGATTTTCCTGCTGCTGAACGTAGCTCAGTCTGCTCTCGGAGCAGCCAAACATCTGCAGTGCTCAGCAGGAGGTCACTCTGCACTACTTCACCACATACAGCCCTTTGTAAATAAGGGGCAGACGAGAAACCGACTGTCCTGATTTTCACTGTCATATCATTTACTTCTGATTTGCAGCACAACAACGACATCACTGCATATTCAGAGCAGAGACTGTGCAATAACCTTGCTGGTAGGACCAGAGGCTCCAGAGGGGGAGGGTGGACATTGGTGGCCCTGTCTGTAGTGGGGGGAGGGAGGGTAGGAGCTTGATGATCCTTGAGGTCCCTTCCAACCCAAGCCATCCAATGATTCTATGAGACTATGACTCTATGAAGAGGAACAGAGCTGTCCAGTCACACCAGCAAATCACTCAACCCATGAAGGATGTCTTTAATCTCTTATTTGTCTTGAATATTTTTGCTACGCTACTGATTTCACTGCAGAATTCACACCAGCAAAACGAGACCAGTGTCTGTTCTTTGCATACTAGAGGCATCTATTAGCAAAAATCCAGAGTCACCAGGCTGAGCTCTGTGGAATTACTGCAGCTTTAAAGTTGTGTAACTGCGATTAAAACCTTGTCCTTACATTAATTCATATTTCATGGGCCTGTTTTGGATGTTTCACACTGTGACTCCGCTGGGGAAATTCCAGCTGCATGTTCTAGATTCACGAGCTGTTTTATTTTGTCATCTATTCAGTCTGTTGTCACTGTGGCTACTCACTCAAAGGAGAGGAGAATTATAGCATCGTTCCCCTGGGCTGCTGTAAATCAGCACAGCTTCAGGAGAGCAGTCTGAGTCAGTCGCATCCTGGCCCCTTGTCTCATGGAATTGGGAATTTTTTGGCATTACAAGAAGCTGGAAATGCACAAGCAGCAAAAATTTAGCACAAAATTCCCCCCCAGAAAGTGATCTAAAGAGGGGCTGTTTGACAGAGTTGGAGGTAGATGGAGAGTAATGGTGCCCAGTTCAGGACGTGGAGCTGGTGAACAAATAAGCTTGCAATCTGCCTAAAATCTTGAGAATTTAGTTTGGGGAATCTGTCTCTAAAGGCAACTCGATGATCTTAAAAATAAGTAAACTTCCAGCCAAGCAGAATCCTGCAGCCCATCAGTGTTATCCCAAGAATGTTCTTGCAGTGGCATTCTTGAAATCTGGACATTTATAGGAAATTAAAATTCCCTTCCTAGAAGAAACCATGAAGAAAGGGCATTAGAATCCAAGACCAGGCTTGGTATTGACATTCAGGCACCTTCCATAACATTACGATTGGGAAATGATTTTCAGTTTCCTCTGGCCAGTAGGAATGGGTTATCTGGAATGGTCAGAGTTGGAAGGGACACTTAAGGCCATCTGGTCCAACTCCTCTGCAATGAACAGGAACATCCACAGCTCCATCAGGTGTTCACAGCCCTGTCCAGTGTGACTTTGAATTTATGTGTAGTATTATATTTGACTCTTTGCACTATCCTGCATCACTGGTGGAAAGGTGATGCAGTTCAATGCTTGGGTCCTAACCATTAGCTGGACTTGCAGGAGATAAAGAACACTTGAAGACCATTTTTGCTGAGCCCAGAAGAACTAAACGGGCTAGGAAGAAGTTCAACATTCCTCCTAGTTAGTCTGTCCCCAGGAAAATGCCCCACAAAAGCTGCAGGAAAACTGGAATTGGCTGCTTGTGAAATGAGCATTTCAGAGTGGATGTCTCTGATGTCCGTGGTGTGAGACAGAAGCACCATGAAAGAAAGCAGATCCAGGTCCAAATGCAGTAAAAAAAAAACAGATTGAAATGATCAAAAGCCCCTCAAGGATGTAAGAGCTTCAATCTCATTTCGTTAGGCACTTCTGAAACGTCTCCGTTAGCACCAGAGGCTCTCTGTGCCCCAGTGCACATCATGTCGATGGCACTGATATCTGTTCCTGGGCACAGTCAGGCTTATGAGCAAACCTCCTTGGCCCAGGTAAATCAGCCATGGATAGACATAGTCCTGTGCCCAGAACTAGGCATAAAACCATTACAGAATCACAGAATTGCCAGGGTTGGAAGGGACCTGAAGGATCATGAATCTCCAACCCCCCTGCCACATGCAGGGCCACCAACCATCCCACCTAATGCTAGACCAGGCTGCCCAGGTCCCCATCCAACCTGGCCTTGAACACCTCCAGGGATGGGGCATCCACAACCTCTCTGGGCAGCTGTTTCAGCACCTCACCACTCTCTCCATAAAGAATTTCCCCCTGACATCCAACCTAAATCTCCCTTCCCTCAACTTAAAACCATTTCCCCTTGTCCTGCTGTCACTCACCCTTTCAAAGAGTTGATTCCCCTAAAACCATTAGATAGCATCCAAAGGAAGGCAGAGGGGCAGGCCACGACAGATCCAAGGCTGTCCATACTATTTAATTCCTTTCCCCTGGTGCATATCCATTCTGATACGGTCTTTCATTGCACGATTGAAGATATTGATATCGACACGATAACAATCTGTAGCGTGGAGGTATTGAGTAACTGGAGGCACAGATCCTCAGCACAGATGCACAAGGAAGGCAGCTGCAATGAGCTTTTCCTTCAGCTGAACACAAGGTCAGGCTTCTAGGGTGGGAGGAAAAAACTCATCCCTTCTCACAGAATGAGGATATTTTGGCAGCGGGAGAAGGATTTAGAGGCCATGGTGAACAAGAAATCCTGATGGTTTGCTCAGAATAAGATGACTGCAGGGCTGAAGCCCTGCGTGGACACAGAAAGAGAAGCTCTGTGCTGGTGGAGATCGGATGAGCTGGATTGGATGCCACCAAAGTGGAGACAGGAACCCTCCATGTACCTGAGGGCAGCTTTTGAGCCATGGAATCAGTGGAGAAAAGAGCTGCAGAAATTATTGGTAATTCTGCAATAATTTGTAATTCCAGGGCCAGAGGTTTTGAGGAAAAAAGCTTGTTGCAGAAGGGAGGTGTGTGGTATAGAGACTTTTTGTCAGAGGTTTTTCAACAGAAGGAAAAGCCTGAAAAGCATTACTTTCTTTTTCCTTTTTTTCTTTTATTTTTTTCAAACCTCCCAAAGAAAGCAATGACAAGAAGCAGGGGGAGAATTTGGTCCAGATGCAACCAAAGGAGCCAAAAGAAGCATATTTTTTGCAAGAAGGGTAATTAACCATTGGAACAAACTACCCACAATAACAGATTTCTTTGTCTCTCGAGGTCTTCCAAAAGAAGGGTGGGTGCTTCTATGGAAAAGGCACATGAGCCAAAGAGAAATTACAGGGGCCATTACCACTGCAAGCGGATGCAGTCCTCTGAGCTGTGCTATGGAGGAGGTCAGCTCAGCCTCCTGGCCTCTGAACTTGTGAATCATACAGTCCTTTGGCTTTCAGGAGGGCCCCTGTCTCACTCATGCACGCAGCACTGACGGATTTAATCAACTTCTTGCTGACAGCAGCAGAACAGCACTGCTCATGCATCCTGGCTGTAATGCAGATCCTGATAGGAGAGCCACCAAGCTCCAGACCTTTCCCCTCTTCTGTTCCCTTGGTGACTTTTGCTCTTAAAACCTGACACTGACCCACTTCTAAGCTGCGCATAACAGCTCTGTTCTGCCTCATGGCCACATCCATTATCTGCAAAACCATCAGCCTCCTACAGTTCCAGAGCCTTGCCTAATTTGCTGCCTCTCCTTGGTCCCATTTGCTCTGTAACAGCTGCCAACAACTCACTATGAGACCACACAAGCTTGCATCCACACCGACATCCTAAACTCGTCCATCATCTGCATTTCCAGCAGGATCCTCCTTTGAGATTGCACCCTGCTATTCAAAGAATCATGGAGTCATTAAGCTTGGAGAAAGCCTCTGGGATCACCAAGGCTGGCCATCAACCTACCACCATTATTACCTACTAAACCACATCCCTCAGTGACACACTCCCACTGTTCTAGAACACCTCCAGTGATTCCACCACCTCCCTGGGCGGCTGTGCCAGTGCATCATGACTCTTGGAGAATAAATTTTTCCTAATATCCAACCTGAGATGGATGGATCCAGTCTGGAGGTAGGCTCAGGCCCATTCCATTCTGGCTGTAATCTCTTTGACATGATTTCTTTGTGTGTGGATAGCAATCTTCCTTTCCCAAGGGTGCTGTGCTCACCATGTCTTTTGATGGTTCCCAACCTTCTGCATCAGGACCTTTCTGCTATTGAGTATGGCAGTAGTGTTGGAGCTCAGATCTTCCTTGGGCACTGGGAACTTTGAGTTCATCCACAGCTGAAAAAACGTTTTTAAGATGAAAAGCTGCTGCTGCAGCCCTTTGTCTTATTGTTTATCTCCACACACAGCCAGGGATGCTGGCCCCTGTCTGCAGTAGGGTTTGCAGTGTGGAGTATGACTCTATAAGGTGAAAAGCAGCAGAGGATCTGAACTTGACTGGTGGTGTTGTCCCTGGCGGAGTCCCAAGCAGCTCTGAACTACTTTTCCCCACGTGATGGAGGAAGGGATCCTCACATCCAGATGCTGGCACAAATGTGCATTGCCTTCAGCAGGATGGAACAGGGTTGAGAGAGAGCTCAATGTACGGTGACGTGGGGAAAGGAGGGTTATTGAAATAACAAATGCCATTCGAGGAGAGCTATGATTAGCTGGACTCCATGCAGACTGTTAGAGGAATGCTGAACTTTATTACTTCTGGCCTTTTCTGCTGCCTCTGGTCTGCTCAAACTTCGTGACGCTTAACGTCAGATTAAACATTAAACTTCTCTAAACTGGCCAAATGAAGTCAAAAGAGAGCTGGGGGGAGAGACCAACCACACTGTTACTTACCTTGATTAGATGATAGAAAGTGTGATTTCCCTTTAAAGGTGCTGTCAATCTAAGGGTGTGAAATTCACTGATGTGCAATAGAGTTTTTAATTGTCCACATGTTCCTGTAAACCTTCATAATCAATTTCCCTTATGCTCATCTCTTCTATTATCCATCATCATCACCTCTTCTCAGCTCTCCCCAGCAAGCAATTCTGAATTTTGGGTTTGTTTGCAACCTGGTAACCTTCCCCCTGCCTACCCCAATATGAAACCTACTGAAAATATGATATAAATAATTGCATGTGTACTGCAGCCAACTTGAAGCCTGTAATTACATTTTGGGATTTTGCTCTTGTCTCTGGGTGGACTCTCGCTTCACAAAAGTAACAGAAGCCTTCAAGCAAGTTACTGGACCTTTGTACAGATCAAGTTATCTTGGATTACAAGATCATTTCTTACAGCAAAATTCTGCTTTGATTATTTGAGCTGAGACCAAAAACAGATTTCCAGGACAGAAATAGGGAGGGCATAAGGAGAAAGTTCAGCATGAAAGTTCAAACCTTGCTTAATAACTTATTATTATTTAATTTCCTTCCATCCCCTGGGATCTCTAGGATGGAAGGAATGTAATTGCCATAAATGCAGGTCTAATTCAGGTGAAGACATTCTAACTTTAGGACCATGTTTCCTTCTGTGGAGTTTCAGAAGTGTTGCTTTCCCAGGGGACCCAGCCTTCATGGCAGACGACACTACTGGCACTTTGCTGCACTGTGAAAGTCCAACCCACCCTGGGCAATCTCTACCTCTTTGTATCTGGTTCCAAATGCTTTATTTAATTCCTGACACAAGCCAGAGGTCTCCTCTTTTATTATCTTGCTACTTCCCCCAGCAATGGGGTTGTTTGACACCTGGGGCTTATATTTTTACTGCCATCTCACTTTGTTTCAGAGCATCTTCAAGCAAACATCCTGCTCCCATTTGACCAGGATTAATCTCCTGTAACTTCATATACGTGCCTACCTAGAGTTGAATGGATGCCCCACTTAATGCTCTACGTTATTATCAATTTCCAGTTACTACATCAGAAATATGCTTTCTTCCCTCAGGACTGGATTGGGTAGATAGTGATAGGACAAGGGGGAATGGTTTTGAATTGAGACAGGAGAGGTTTAGGTTGGATATTAGGAGGAGGTTTTTCACACAGAGGGTGGTGAGGCACTGGAACAGGTTGCCCAAGGAGGTTGTGGATGCCCCATCCCTGCAGGCATTCAAGGCCAGGCTGGATGTGGCTCTGGGCAGCCTGGTCTGCTGGTTGGTGACCCTGCACATAGCAGGGGGCTGGGCCTAGATGATCATTGTGGTCCTTTTTAACCCAGGCCATTCTATGATTCTATTAATGTGTCATATCTGCAGTCCTACTCATGACTCAGGTGCCTTAGAACACTGAGCATCCTTACATTGGCTTCTATAGTAACAGTCCTTTAGGACTGTAGATACATAGCTGAGATGAGAATGACCAAATGAATGCAAGATGATTCCCATCCTCTTCCACTGGAAGAAGATGATTCGCCCTCCTATAGCGAATGAAGGTTTGCCTTTTATTGTATATGGTATTTTTTAACACACTGCCCCATATTCCTTTATCTGCCCATTTCTATTTGCCTCCTGCCCTGTGCCTTGACTCAGCATCTGTAGGGAAAGTGAATCTGACATCTCGTTTTTGGAACAACTGTGAGACATGGCAAGTTTTTCTTTTCTCTCTTTCTCACTGATTGTTTCCACTGTTTCCTTGTTCTGTGGCCTCCACGTTGGATTTATGCCTTTCATTACTAACAGTTAGCTGGATGAAATATCTTTCACACTCCCTTTTATGAGACATATTTGAAAAGTCTTGCCAAACTGCTTAGATCTTACCCCATACTCCAGATACAAGGCCTGCATTCTTCCAAAGGTAGATTATTAACCCAAGTTGGATGCTTGAAATAGCACCTCTATGCCAAAGTTGCAGTCAGCTCCTGATGTTCTGAGCAATGTTGATACACATAATAAGAAGCATTCCAGTGTGGAAAGGTGTATCAATACTCAGACTGGATTTATTATGGGACTGTGTCAGTATAGACTACACCACAGTGCTGGTTTGGGATGAGGAGTGTGGATTTAGGTCAATTTTGCTTTACTCATGGCATGTCTCAATTTCTAAATCCTTAATTTTACAGCATCAGTGTCCTTTTAATGTTTTGCTTGCTTTAGTACAGGTTCTCAAGGTTTTATTTTTATCTTTTCCAGAACAGCCTCCATTTTCCCTCCACCATGTCCAGCCTTGTGTTTTCTGCCTGTCTCTCTCCTTCAGCCTTGTTGGCTTTGGGGGCAATCACATCTAAGTGAGATTCCTTCCTCTCTCCCTGTAGTTAATGTAGGCATAGAAGTGTCTTCACTTCAGTATCCTCTATCACAGAGTTATATCCTAGAATCATAGAATGGCCTGGGTTGAAAAGGGATGAGGGGAAATGGCCTTAAGTTGCACCAGAGTAAGTTTAGGTTGGATATCAAGAAGAACTCCTTTACAGAAAGGGTTGTTAAGCACTGGAATTGGCTCCCCAGGGAGGTGGTTGAGTCACCATCCCTGGATGTGTTTAAAAACCATTTGGATGTGGTGGTCAGGGCAATGATTTAGAGGAGGGTTGTTAGAGTTAGAATAGGATGGTCAGGTTGTGCTTGGACTCGATGATCTTCAACCTGAGCAATTCTGATTCTAAGATCTACCTTTCTCTTGGAAACCTCCAGGGATGGTGGAGTCCCTGGATGGTGGTGGAAGAGTCCACCACTTCCCTGGGCAGGACGATGTGTATATAAATAGCGTCTACTTATATGCATATTTATATTTAAATGCAGACATACATCTATATAAAGTTGTATATATTGCCACATACCTAAATCCTTCATCGCTGATCATTTCTCACTTCTTTTTCTCTTCCTTTCCTCTTCAGACAGAAACTTCTCCTATTTTCCCAGCTTGGCTTCCTTCTCTAATCTCAGTTTCTGCCTTATTCAGCCTCAGTTACATTTCAGGCTTGCAAACTCCAGCCTTCATGTTTAACTTCTCTTGTCAGAAGCAAAAAAAGTAGTCTGGGCACGAGAAGAAAGGATGATAGATGGGTGCAATGACCTGGACTGATACAGACATGTACACAATTTTGTCTTTGAACCTAAGGTTGGCTGGAAAAGCGCCACTGGAGGATATATTTTGGAACCCTGTGGTTTCATAAAGTCAGGACAAGGATCTCTGTTCCTTGATTTTAATCATCATTCATCTTCATAAAACTTCGGGGAAGGGGGGGGGTTGGGGACTAGCTTTTGTTTGAATGGATTTTGTGACTTCCAGAGAAAACAGAGGCAGAGGAGTATAATTGAGAGGTTGTTTAGTGCCAAATTCATCTTAAAGCAGGGAATGCAAATCACATAGCAAGTGTTGAATTATATATGATTAAAACTGCTTCAGCCCTTGCAAAGAAAAATAAAAAAGAGAACCTTTTTATTCAGCAGTTAATCATGTACAAAGAAAAAAAGTGGGTAGAACAAAAATGAACTTAATCACAGAAAAAGGGGTCACAGTTTGCTGCTTGACATATGGCTGGGTTCTCTATCATGACAGTGCGATGCAGAACGCGCTGTCATTACAGTGTTTTAAAGAGGCACATTAAGAAGGGAGTTCGCTGATAAATGACCCTTTAAAAATGGGAGAGATTCACTTCTCAGAAATGAATGTTCCAGGTTTGTGCAGTCCATCTTGGATGCTCTTGTATTTTGCAAGCTAGGCAGGGTGGGAAGTTTTTTCAGTGCTTTGTTAGATGTCTTGATGTATAGGATAGAAAAGAGTGCGTTGAACCTAATGAAGGCATGGTGCTAACACTGTTCCATTTTGCTAACTGTTGTTAGCCTAACATTAGGTCAAACTCAACATCACAGGTCCAAAAAGTGACAGAGATCAAAAAAAGAAAATCCAGTTTTCTCTTTGTTTCTCTACAGTGTGAATGGTAACCTGAAAATTGTCCTGGCCCCTGATGAACCAGCAGTGTTGACATGCTTTTAGGATTGTTTGATTGAGTGGGCATCGTGGCTCCCTTGGAGAGCTTGTTGAACTTCATGTACTGAGTCCTCTGCCTTTGAAGGCATTGCACTTGTTATGCTATTGGCAGGAGTGTGCAAGGGGATGCTACGTGCTCTGCTTTAAGATCAAGCCTGCAGAGATGGAG